GTTAATGTACCATCATCCTGATTTTGCAGACAAGGAAATTGTAGGTACTACCCACGTACCTAAACTTGCAAAGTTAGTGAGTAAAGATGCTGCAAGTAGGGGGGGAAATGGGCATTTATTGAAACCTTAAAATCTGTACCCCCATAATATGCCGAAATAAAAAAAAAAAAAAAAGATGCTGCAAGTTAAAGACAGTCTCCCTTCACTGGTCTGCTTGCAGTTCTATGACATGAAATTGACTAAGCTCAGAGGACAAAGTCACTCCCAGGAGGGCAGGCATATTGTCTGCTGCCAGATTTGGCACTTCAGATTTTTAAAGACTATGTTTCCCTTAACTAGTACTCTCAGAATCTTTGAGAAAAGGTCCCTTGATAAAGCCTTATGGCAATAACCATGAAAATCTGAGTAGCAAGAACTTTCATTTTAAAAACTCCATTAAGCATCAGGTTATACAATGGGTTAAGCATCATTTCAGGAAATAAATCACAATATAATATATGGCTATGAAGGCCTGAATATGACACATAAGGTCTACTTGTTTAAGAGAGTGAATCATGTTGTAACAATAATAAACTATCAGGCACTTAGTTCAATGCTGTGCAAAGAGTAATCAGACATAGTCCCTTCCTTCAAGGGCTCTCAATCTGGGGTGGAAATACCCAATATAGTGCTACAACATAAATTAACAAGGCTCTTGGTAGGGAAGAATAGAAGCACAAAAGAGGGACACCTAACCTAGGTGGGAATTCTGGGAATTCAGAAAAAGTTTCCTAGAGCAAGCAGAATCCTGAAATCCTGAAAAATGAATAAAACATAGCCAACAAAGAGGAGTGGTCAATGATGGGAAAATGAAAGTATGGTAACAGATGATTTCTCTCTAAAGGGTGATTATGACAAATAGGACTGATGAATGGTGACAAGGCCCTATTTCTTCCTTTTCTTTTCTTTTTTTTTTAGAGACAGGGTCTCACTCTGTCACCCAGGCTGGAGTGCAGTGACATGATCATAGCTCACTATGGCCTTGAATTCCTGGGCTCAAAGGATCCTCCTGCGTTAGCCTCCCAAAGTGCTAGGATTACAGGCATAAGCCACTGAGCAGGGTCTGCCTTGTGGTCTTGAACAGAGTACTTCCACCTCCTGGCTCTCTTTATCCATCTGTAAAATAATGGTACTAACTTCACAGCATCATGATGATTTTATAAGGCAAGGCTAATGTTTAGCTAATACATAGCTAGTAAGACTGTACTGATGATTAAAATATTGAAATGTTTTAATATTTAATATTAATATATTAATATTTAATATGAGTTGGTATATATCTATTTCTCTAAGCATTTGCAGTGACCTCCACCTCTCTCCTGGAACACCCTGAACCTCTCCATGATTCAGCAATTAGAGGATGTCTGACACAGCAAATCCTGGCACAGAAATCTCTACAGATATTCTGATTATTTTGATACTTTAAAAGTTTGAGTATTATCCAAAAAGATATGTAATATAAGTGAAGTGCCTGGCACATAGTGAACATTCAATAGTTATTCATCAAATTTATTTAAACTATAGATTCCATCTATGGATATAGATAGGGAATGGCCCTCTACTGGGTGACATCGTTTATTCTATATATATTTATTGGGGTGTACTATTATTGCATGTCTAGTTATTTGCATTTAGGTAGAATTCACTGCATCTCTGCCACCTTCAAGGAGTAGGGGCACTGATATATGGCTAATATAAAAATGGATTCTTTGAGGATAAATTAGGACCAACGTACTAAGAGCTAGACCTTTCACTGTGGACAAGTAGAAGGGTTGAATGTGCAAATATCAGTGCACTATGGTACCTTTCATGAATCCTGGCCTCCTTGTCTTGACTCTATGTGACTGCCTGGTGTGATAAGATAGGCCAAAAGCTACTTGGATATTCTGACTTCCTTGGTTTGTTTTGCTTCTTGAGTGCTCCAATGTATCTGGCCTGGGGTTTCCAAGGAGGGAAGATCATCTAGTCTTTTCTTTTTTTTTTTTCAGACAGAGTCTCACTTTGTTGCCCAGGCTAGAGTGAGTGCTGTGGCGTCAGTCTAGCTCACAACAACCTCAAACTCCTGGGCTCAAGCAATCCCTCTGCCTCAGCCTCCCAAGTAGCTGGGATTACTGGCATGTGCCACCATGCCTGGCTGATTTTTTCTACATATATTAATTGGCCAATTAATTTCTTTCTATTTATAGTAGAGACTGGGTCTTGCTCTTGCTCAGGCTGGTTTCGAACTCCTGACCTCGAGTAATCCGCCTGCCTCGGCCTCCCAGAGTGAGGTCATCTAGTCTTGATTTGATTATACAAGAGAGTTCTCTAAGTTCTATATGATCCAGTTCAGCTTACTAAGGTTCTGCAGAAGGGTTTTGGATCCTGAAAGCAACTTTAAAACATAGCTCCAAAATTCTGTGACATTCCTCTTATTGAAAAGTAGGGCCTATGTAGCCTCTCCTTGAATCTGGTCTGTATCTGGTTGACTGAAAGAACATAGTGGAAGATTTGCTGCAGCAGTTTCTGTGCCCAGGTTTTAAAAACTGGCAGTTTCCCATTAGGAGTGTTAGCTTATACATGTAATCTTAGCACTTTGGGAGGCCAAGGTGGAAGGAAGGCTTGAGCCCAGGAGTTCAGGACCAACCTGAGCAACCTAGGGAGATCTTGTCCCTACAAAAAATAAAAATAAAACAATTAGCCAGGCATGGTGGCACACAGCTGGTCCCAGCTACTCAGGAGGCTGAGACAGGAAAATCACTTGAGCCCAGGAGTTTGAGGTTGCAGTGAGCTAGGCTGATACCATTGTACTTGTCCCAGGCAATAGAGTAAGACCCTGTCTCAAAAAAAAAAAAAAAAAAAAAAAGGCAGTTTCCATTCCCCAACTCTTGGAATGTTTACTCTTGGAACACAACCATCATGTACTATAAGAACAAACCCAAGCAACCTGTGATGAAACCCAGGCTGAGCTCCCAGAAAAGAGCCAACACAAAATTGTCAGCCATGTGAATGAACTTTCCTTGAAGTGGATCCTTGTCCAATTCCCATGTGAGCTGCTCCAGCTGACAGCATGTTGGAGCAAAGATGAGCTGTCCTCAATAAGCCTAGCCTAAACTTTAGGTCATAGCAAAATAAATGTTTCTTATTGTTTTAAGCCATTACATTTTGGAGGTGGTTTGTTAGGTAACATCAGATAACCAGAACAGGCTCAAAGAGCCAAATAGTAATAAAGTATTCTTTTACCTAGCCTTGTCCTTCCTGGAAAAGACTCCTTGGGAAAACACTTAGCAGAAAAGAGTATGTTGGTTTCATTTTTTTACATCTGTGCCACATTATTATTTTCTTCAGTTGCATAGCATGGTTGGTGGAATGAGAGGGCAAGGTGCATGACATTAAGTACTCAACCTATGTGGTCATAATTATCCAGGGAAACAAAGAAAAATACTACAGATTGCTTTAAGTAGGTATACAAAGAAGTTTTAGACCCATATCCCTATGTGGAATCTATGGTCTGGTGCTCTGTCCTGGTAGCAACAAAGACTGTCTTTTTGTTTCTGGCTTATATCCTTCACTAAAGCATGCCAGTAGCTTCCTATGCCTTTTCCCCACAGACACCATACCTTAAGATCTTTCAGTTCTAATTGCCAGAAGACATACAGAAAAAGCCACTTAAGAGAATGCACACAAAGGAAAAAGTGGCAGATTTGCTTTGATATGGCCTTTTCCATTCTCCTGCTTCCTCTTCCTAATATGACCAATTTCCTTGTTCCTGGCTGCCTGTGTCCTAGCTTTTCCTCCCCAGAAGCTGGTTTGAAACCTTCTTTTGAGTTTTGATTGAGCTCCTCTCTTTGCTGGGACACCACCTTCTCCTGGTTTTCATCCTACCTTTCTGGCTCTTTCTTCTCAGGCTCTTCCTCGTCTTTTAAAGGTGTGTGCTCACCAAGGTTCAGTACTCCTTTTCTTCTTCCTTAAGGTTTTTCTCTAATGAAGGCAGGGAAATGGAGTTAATTGCAATGGCTTCCGGTTGCAATTACAGTATCATCCAAATTCCTTCCCATAACCAAAAGGCTAGAATGAATTGCCTGCCACCAGCCTAACTCTCCCAACTCTTCACTTTCTATTCTCCCCTCATTTCATCCAGGCCTGGTCCCACTGGCATTCTTTCAATTGCTCTAACTTGCCAAGCCATTTTAGGGTTTTGGGGTTTTTCTTTGACAGTCTCTTGCTCTGTCCCTTTGGCTAGAGAGCAGTGGTGTCATCATAGCTCACTGCAACCTCAAACTTCCGGGCTCAAGCGATCCTCCTGCCTCAGCCTCCCAAGTAGCTGGAACTACAGGCTGGTTCCACCACGCCTGGCTAAATTTTTTCTATTTTTTTTTTGTAGAGACGGGGTCTCGTTGCTCAGGCTGGTCTCCTATTCCTGACCTCAAGTGATCCTCCAGCCTCAGCCTCCCAGAGTGCTAGGATCACAGGCGTGAGCCACTGCACCCGGCCCATTTTAAGGTTTTTACACATGCTTTTTTGTCTTTGTGGGACGGACACTCTATCCCAGCTTTTGCCTGGTTGTGTTCTTTCTGATCCCTATGTCTTGTGTCAAATGTCACCTCTTTTAAAGTCTTCTCTGACTACATTAACCAAGTTATAACCTTCTTGTTATTCTCTCGTTTGTTTCCTTCAAAACCGTACGGGTGTTTACATTTATTTATACGTGTATTTACTTTTTGTCGGCTGCCCCCCCCCCCATGCAATTGCAACTCCTTGCGAGCAGAGTCGGTGGGATTTGCTCTCCAGTGTTATCACGTCCCAGCCTCCAGCATAGCACCAGATACTCGGAGACGCAGGGTGAGACACCGAGGTCTGGAAGCACCCGTGGACTAGCTAAGAAGGGATGGGAAGGAGAAGGCATAGGGACTGCAAGCCGGTGCGGCGGCGGCGGCGCCGTAGCCGAGCCGGCCGCGGGAGGCTCCTCCTCTTCCGGCCGCGGCGCGGATACCGGGCAGCCTCGGCAGCTGGGCCGCGGCGGGCGCCAGCTCGGCCCGCCCCCCCCCGCCCCGCCCCGCTTCGCGCCTCCGCCGCGCCGGCCGCTGTCAGCGCCTTGAGCGTCCGGCTGAGACGCGGTGTATGGTTAGTCGCTGCGGTCGCCGGCTGCTACACGTCCTGGGCCTTAGCTTCCCGCTGCTGAGCCGCCGGCCGCTTCTCCTCTGCCCTCCCCTCCTCATGAAGCCGCTGGTCGTGTTTGTCCTCGGCGGCCCCGGCGCCGGCAAGGGGACTCAGTGCGCCCGTATCGTCGAGGTGAGGCCCGGGCAGCTGGCGGGTTCCCTGGGGCTTGGCCGGGCGCGGGCTCGCCTGTCCCGTCGCGCCTGGCCGTCCGCACCCCAGGAGACGCGCAACTGCGGACTACGAGTGCCGGCGGCCACCGCGCCGTCCGCGTGGCAGTGCCGAGGGTCCGCCGGCGCGCGGCGTGCCGGGACTCGTAGTTCGCGTCGGCGCTTGTGGGGGGCCGCTTGGGGTCGTTTTGTTTCTGCGCCCCCTCATTTCTTATACGTTGGGGACCAGATTCGTCTTAGGAGTGGGCTGGGAGAGGGATCCGGGAGGCCCAGCCTCCGGGGTCCCCAGCGCGCAGAGGTCAGTGGGTCGCTGATTGCGCGGTGGGTGAAGGCTGCAGGAGCGCGGATTTCGGTTAGAGGCCGTGTGCGTGTCCCACAGTTGCTTGAAGGGGTTTCTCCTCTCTGCGCCTTTCCGCCAGTCCTCTAAACTACAGACCGGTCTTTACCGTAGGAAGGCGCCTGGTGGGAAGGGTGTTATTTTAGGCCCCTTGTGAGCTGCAGCTAGCTCTGTCTGGCCCTGTTCGCAGCGGGCTGTAGGGCAGGGCCAGCCTGCGGAGCCGTGTACGGAGGTCAGCCCTTGGCCCTGCTGCCACCTCACGCTTTGCTCCCAGGCAGGTCATTTCCTCTCTCCGAGCCTCATTTCCTCCTTCTCATAGACTAAGAAGTCTCCTGAGCCCAGATTTGCTCAGAATATAAAACACCTTCCAACTCTAAAATCGGGGTTTTTTTTTACTTTGCTTTTGCTTTAAGATGTGATACGGTTATTAATTTTTGGGGGCTAGAGTGACAGATAATGTGGTTAGCTGCGGTGAAACAGTGAAGAGAACGGCTTAATGGACAATCTGGGGAATTCTTGGGAGAGAAGGAAAACAAGATACCTAGAAACAAGAGGCTATCAGTGGTGGTGCAGATCACCCAAAGAATCGCTGTGGAACTCCGTGACCAACAAAAGTTTTTTACTCAGAACTTATAATTTCTTCCTCTTCCTATCCTGGAAATATGTGTATATATACATATATCTATATATGTACATATATATATATATTTTTTTTTTTTTTTGAGACAGGGGTGGGATGGTCTCCCTATGTTGCTCAAGCTGGCCTCAAACTCCTGGGCTAGGGTGAGCCTCCTGAGTAGATGGGATTACAAGCACCCACGCGCCCAGCCTGATAGAGCCTATATTAGCTTTGGCTTTTTACTTCTCTTCTTCCATGTTCATACAGTCAACTCCTGTCCTGTGTTTTGTTCCTAAAGAGTATCCAGATAAAGATGTGTTCTAAAAGTCATTATGTATTGTACTGGCAGATTTATAATTATTGATCATTTTTAGGAATAAAAGTGGAACTAGTCAAACAAAAAAATGCATAGTATTTTTCTCTTCCATATATATATGATTTTTTTTTTTTTTTGAAACAGAGTCTCCCTTTGTTGCCCAGGCTAGAGTGAGTGCTGTGGCATCAGCCTAGCTCACAGCAACCTCAAACTCCTGGGCTCAGGCAATCCTGCTGCCTCAGCCTCCCGAGTAGCTGGGACTACAGGCATGCGCCACCATGCCTGGCTAATTTTTTCTATATATTTTAGTTGGCCAATTAACTTGTTTCTATTTATAGTAGAGACGGGGTCTCGCTCTTGCTCAGGCTGGTCTTGAGCTGACCTCCAGCAATCCGACCGCCTTGGTGTCTCAGAGTGCTAGGATTACAGGTGTGAGCCACCTGGCCCGGTGTCTTCCTTATTTTTATTTTTGTTGTTGTTGTTGTTGTTGTTTTCCACTATTTATTTATTTAGAGACAGAGTCTCACTCTGTTGCCTGGGCAAGAGTGCCATGGTGTCAGCCTAACTCACAGCAACCTCAAACTCCTGGGCTCAAGTGATCCTTCTGCTTCAGCCGGGATCCCAAGTAGCTGGCACTACAAGCATGTGCCACCATGCCCAGCTAATTTTTCCTATGTATTTTTAGTTGTCTAGCTAAGTTCTTTCTATTTTTAGTAGAAATGGGTTCTCATTCTTGCTCAGGCTGGTCTTGAACTCCTGACCTTGAGCGATCCTCCCACCTCAGCCTCCCAGAATGCTAGGATTATAGGCATGAGCCACCATGCCCAGTGGTTTTTTTCAGTTTTTAAAAGACAAGTGGTGGCTGGACATCACCCAGCACTCTGGAAGACCAAGGTGGGAGGATTGCTTGAGGTCAGGAGTTTGAGACCAGCCCATCTCTGCTTAAAATAGAAAAATTAACTGGGTGTGGTGGTGCATGCCTGTAGTTCCAACTACTTGGGAGGCTGAGACAGGAGGATCACTTGAGCCTAAGAGTTTGAGGTTGCAATGAACTGTGATTGCACCATTGCACTATAGCTGGGGCCACAGAGTGTGAGTCGTCTCAAAAAAAAAAACACAAGTGGGTGATTTCAAATTTTTGTTTTGTATATGAAATGACTCTTATAGGTAAATAGTGCAGTAGGGGAAGGAGCAGAGTCAAAGAGATATGCGTTCAAACCCTTTCTCTGGCATTTACTGTTTCTCTAGGCCCAGAGAAGCTGTTACTTTTAGCTTGAGTTCCTTTGTAAAAAGGGAGAAAATAGAAATACCTATACTGTATGAGATTTGTGATTGTTAAGTTAGGTAAAAATATCTGGCACACAGAGACATATGCAAATAATTTATTTCTCCACTTTAAACTTCCTAATCTTATACTGGTTTTATTGTAAAGTAGTAGTATTTTTTTAAAAAGTGTTATATGACGGTTATATTTGAATGCATTTAAATACACTATTTTGTTTCTGAATCATAACATGCCTTTAAATGTCCACAACCAAACTAATAATACTCATATTACTCCACTGGATTAAAAATAATCTACACATTTTATAACTAGTGTTTATTCTTTACTCTGTTCAGTAATGACTGATAACATTTTTAAACCTGTTAATTATCAATTATAAGATTCCATGATGAGATATGTTCTGTAATATATTATTCTTTAAGATTTCAGCAATTATATGCGCTTAAACTGTTTTCAGCTATCATCTTTTATGAAAATGTTTACTTCTGATTCCAGTTGCCAGGAATGTTATTAAACTGACAACTAATTCCAAATAGTTCGTAATTTAGTAATTGCTGTCCCTATTGACTAAATTAATATTGGAATATCTATAGTCAGTTAAGACAGAGGTGTGTTAATTTTTTTCTCTTTGTGAGTCTCTTGTATTTTGACTTGATAATTTTTTATTCAGGCAATCATAAGCTGAATCCCAAAAGATTGTAATTTTTGGAACTAATTTTTTTGGTAGGGGAAAAGTTATATAAATTGATGTTAATTTCCCCAACTATCATGCCAAAGCTAATTTAGCTCATTTTAGGTACTAATTTATACTTGAAATATGGCTGAAGTCGAATTATTTCTTTATTATATTGACTTCCAACTCAGGCTACCAGAAGTATTAATACATCTTTGGGTTCTGGCTTTGTGTCCTGGCTATAGAACCTTAGGATATCTTTCCCTCTAAGACCCTGGGCATTGCAGTTAGGGAAGAGGGAAGCTGGTTGGAGGGAAGCTGGTACTTTTTTTCCTCTGGAGACACTTCTACACTGTTAGTTGCTCCTGGACACCATGAAGAAGAAAAGGCAAATCTGATAACAATATCTTCTGAAAGTGTTCTGAACTGGGAAGAAAAGATTTGAGGGAGATTTTGGGGTTTATTTTTACTGATCTTTTTCAGTTTTGTTGTATTTTCTAACTAATTGTTTCTAATTCTGTGTTCTCTCATACTAAATTTGTTTTTGAAAATTAGCCATTTTCTAAATCAGTGCAATACTTTATATTAGAGCTAAGTGCTTGGAGTGGAATTATTGGTGTGAAATAACTTTTTTCTAAAAAATCATCATAGGAATACTGTGTTGTTTTTGAATTTTTAAAATTAAGCTTTATTTATATTTGTTGTTTTGGCCCAAGAGAAATTATGGCACTGTAACCTAAATTTATCTTTGAAAATAACAACCACTAGGCCAGGTGCAGTGGCTCACAGCTATAATCATAGCACTCTGGGAGGCTAAGGTGGGTGGATCGTTTGAGCTCAGGAGTTCGAGACCAGCCTGAGCAAGAGTGAGACTCTGTCTCTACCAAAAATAGAAAAAATTCACTGGGCATGGTGGCACATACCTGTAGTCCTAGCTACTCAGGAGGCTGAGGCAGGAGGATCACTTGAGCCCTGGAGTTTGAGGTTGCTGTGAGTTAGGCTGACACCACAGCACTCTAGCTGGGACAACAGACTGAAACTCCATCTCAAAAAAGAAGAAAGAAAATAACAACCACAATGTTGCATGTGCTATTTGGAAGGAATATTTAAACCTCTTTTTAAAGATTGTGAACATATTGCTTATATAAAAAATTATAATAAAGCTTATTTCCCTGCCAAATTGCTTTCTATAGCACCCCGAAAGCATTTTTATGATTCTGTGTCAACTTTCTCCAGGGCCCATGTGGATAACTTGTACTTTGCATGGGCATCCTACTTACTGTGGTTAGAAGAAATTTTGATTGATAATTGACTTTAAGCATATAGAAATCAGAAACTTGATTTTATTTATCTTTGTGTCCCCAGTGTTGAACATTGTGCCAGGCACATAGTAGGTGCTTAATTAAGTGTTCATTGAATATATGTTTATAGAGGACATTCATTTGTTCTGACCATATGAAAAATTTTTTAAATTTGTTCCCCAGGGGGCGCCCAAGTAGCAGTTAGCTCTCCCAATTTCAGGACCAGAAATGTTTGAATGTGATTTAGCTGTCTTCAGATTTCTCAAGTAACACTTCTGTTTACTGTCAGTGAATACATGGTATGGTTGTGAAAATCTGCTAAGCAGATTTCCAGCTCCTGATTATAGATTTCCCAAACAGATTAGCACCCAGAAGAAACTTGATAGGAAAATCCACTGGACATTAAGGTTCAGTGTTTGCTTTTGGTGGGATAG